GTGCGTATTTCCCAGTGGCTAATCTTACTGTGCCTCTGGAGAACTATTCTGGGGTTAGTACACTTCTCTATATCCTCAGCCTTCCCGGAAAAGTCAACAGATACACCTTTTTGCTTAGCTTAGCTGTCTGCCTTACTCATCCCAGTAAATTATATTGCCTCTTACTGGTGGAGAAAATTAAAGCTCTCTCGGGTGTGCATTCCCTGATTTAAATTAAAACTCTTAATTCAATAACAGAGACTCAAATTTGTTTGTATTCTTTCACCTAGCAATAGATTTTGAGGAAACGATCCTAAATATAGAAAAAAAAATTACATAAAAAGACGATATGGCATTTATACTAGGGAAAATTGGAAATGTTCAACAGGGAGGATCATGAAGTGATTTATGGTATGTCCTGTATATATACTTTTTTTTTTTTTTTTAAGAAAAGACATAACAAGTTTTATTATTTAACGTGCTGGGAAGGGGCAGAGCACAGGGGAGATCATAAGAGAGTAGTGTCCCAAATTCCACTGGGGGTTCAAAGCTTATATACCAGTGTTCATAAGATATCCATACACTTTAAATCCTTTAGTCATTAAAAAAAATTTACAAAATTACTTTAAAGCATTCTAAAGAATAACATTTTACCTCACCTAAGACTGAAAAAATATACTATGCATTAACGTGGTTATGCTTATAATAGAAAGTTGGTCCCCTTTATATCTAAGTTTTCTCTGTATTTTATCATCTCAGTCCCCTGCAATCCTGACACAAACCCCTATGCAATACTATTGACGAACCTGTGACTTTTAATCTCTCTTTTTTTTAAAAAAAAAAGATGACCGGTAAGGGGATCTTAACCCTTGGCTTGGTGTTGTCAGCACCATGCTCACCCAGTGAGCTAACCGGCCATCCCTATATAGGATCCGAACCCGCGGCCTTGGTGTTATCAGCACCACACTCTCCCGAGTGAGCCACGGGGCCGGCCCTAATCTCTGTTTTTTTAATAGATCAGTAGTCACGTTATTGAAACTAAGGTTATGTAGAAAAGTCCTCCAGCCTCCCACTTTCCCTCCCTGTAGACATTATTACTGAGAGATTTCATGTACATATAATAGTGAATGTGTGATACATCACAAATGATAACATGTTACACATACATTCTTTTTTTTTTTTAGTAGAAAGATGACCCGTAAGGGGATCTTAACCGTGTGTGTGCGTGCACGTGTGTGTCCCCGTGTGCGTGTGTGTCCGTGTCCGGTAAGGGGATCGGAACCCTTGGTTTGGTGTCACCCGCACCGCATCCCTGTGTAGGGATCCGAACCCATGGCCTTGGTGTTATCAGCACCGCACTCTCCCGAGTGAGCCACGGGCCGGCCCATTACACATACATTCTTTTTTTTTTTTAGTAGAAAGATGACCCGTAAGGGGATCTTAACCGTGTGTGTGCGTGCGCGTGTGTGTCCCCGTGTGCGCGTGTGTCCGTGTCCGGTAAGGGGATCGGAACCCTTGGTTTGGTGTCACCCGCACCGCATCCCTGTGTAGGGATCCGAACCCATGGCCTTGGTGTTATCAGCACCGCACTCTCCCGAGTGAGCCACGGGCCGGCCCATTACACATACATTCTGAACGTTTTTCATTCCACAGTGTGTCCAGGAAATGAGTCCCTTATTGATGGAATTTAAGTTTTCTAGTTTTTTCCATCTTTTTTTCAGTAACTTCTCATGCCTTATTGTCTTAGTCCACTTGGGCTGCTATAATAAAATGCCTTAGACTGAGTAACAAACAAAATTTATTGCTCACAATTCTGGAGGCTGGGAAGTTCAAGCAAAATCAGGGCACCAGCACATTCAGTATCTGGTGATAGCTAGTTATCTGCTTCAAAGATGGTACCTTCTTGCTGTGTCCTCATATGGCGGAAGAGACAGAAGGAACTGGGGCACTCCCTTCAACCTCTTTTATAAGGTCACTAATCCTGTTCAGGAGGGCAGAGCCCTTATGACTTAATAACCTCCCCAAAGGCCTCACCTCTTAATGCTATCACTTTGGGTATTTAGGTTCCATCATATGAATCTTGGGGGGATACCGACATTCAGACCATAGCAATTACTTTATAAGCCTTTCTGGGTGTTTGAAACTAATGCTTTAGCTTTGGGTACACTCCTAATTCCTCTTAAGTCTCCTTTGCAGGACTCCCCCAAAGTTCTATCCTTGGTCCTCTGCCTAGGAATTCCATACTTTCACTACTACCTCTCCCTGATGACTCCCAAATACAGAACTACAACCCAGACCTCCCCTGAACTCTGGACTCACACGTCCAGCTGCCTGTGGATATTTATACCTGGACATCCCATGGAAACCTTAAACTTGGTATCCCACATGGTATTCATTACATTCCCCCTCAAAAAGCTGATCCTTTTTTATTTCCATCTAGGTAAATGGTTCCCAGTTCTCTAAACCAGAACCTCAGTTCCTCTCCATTATCTTCCTTACCCAACAACTAAACCTGCTAATTTCAACTTTTTAACATCTTCACGTACGTACCCCACCCTAATTTTCTCTTCTTGATTTCTGTTCTGCTGTTTAATTCAGTATACACATTCTAACCCATATTTGAACGTTCTATAATAGTTTTTGATGACCCATCACAGTGGTTCAAGTGGAATTTTACCACTTGAGAGAAATGTCTGAGAGGTGATTTCACTCAGTAAATTGGAGAGCAATATTACTAAGACTCTAAATCTTCCTCACTTAGCTTTTGGCATATTAGTGTCATTTTGTATAACATTTTGGATTCATTGTCAGAGTCATAGAAAACCTCCCAACCCAAAAGGGAGCGTCTTAACTGTATTGCAGTATACTGCTTAGGTGGGTGGATGATTGCAGTAGACCTTTTTTTTAATTTTAATGGTTTGTTGGTTTTATGCTTTGCTTTTTTGTTTGTTTTTCAATAGAGAAGAAATACATGCTCGTAAAGACAAACTTAGTATAGATATAAACAAAATAAACAACAAAGATCCCTGATATTCCCCTACTCCCTTTCCCCAGAGGTTACTTTCTGAGCATTTACTGTGTCCCAGGCACTACTCTATACCAACTTCATGAAGTAGGTACTATTATCTCCACTTTATGGGAAACTGAGGCACAGAGAGGTTAAGTGACTTACCATCGGTCACAAAGGTTCTAAGCAGCAGAGCCAGGATTCAACCCCAGGTATCTGTCTCCAGAGCCCAGCTCTTGTCACAATGGAGCCCTTTGAGTTTTCAGATGTGTTGATTCCCTGTCAGAAGAGGGAAGAATGGCACAGGTATCTAGGTCTAGAGAAAAATGGAAGGAAGGAAGGAAGGAAAGAAGTAAAGTTATAATAGGCCCGTGTACATCCTGAATTCAGGGCTTTTGAGGAGGAAGTAGACAGGGTAATGAGAAATGGTAAGGCACTTAGAGTATTGTGGGTATCGCTGACTTCAAATCTGTTTCTGGGGGCCGGCCCGGTGGTGCACTGCTACAGTGCGCTGCTTGGGAAGCGCAGCGGCGCTCCCGCCGAGGGTTCGGATCCTACATACAGACCGGCCGCTCACTGGCTGAGCGAGGTGCAGGGGCAACACTAAGGGTTGCGATCCCGTTGCCGTCCCGGTCCGGTACGGGCGCGACACTGAGGGTTGCGATCCGTTGCCGGTCACAAAAAAAGAGACAAAAAGGAAAAAAAAAAATCTGTTTCCGGGCCAGTCAGTGGCTCTTCAGTCAGTGGCTCACTTGGGAGAGTGCAGTGCTGATAACACCAAGGCCACGGGTTTGGATCCCATATAGGGATGGCCTGTTAGCTCACTGGGTGAGCATGGTGCTGACAACACCAAGCCAAGGATTAAGATCCCCTTTACCGGTCATCTTTAGAAAATAAATAAGTAAGTAAGTAAATAAAAAATCTGTTTCCTTCTCTGTAAATAAGGGGAGGGGAGTGGGTGGTACAAAGAAAAAGGAGTAAGGACTCCAGAATTGATAGCAGTTTACTAGAGTAGCTTCACTGGATTTTGTATGGGAGGATGAAGACATCGTTACCAGCTCCTGTTCTCTTCAGAATATCAGCATCTCCCTTCCATATACATGCTTGATTGATGCTATTAAACATGGTAGATTCACTACAAGAATGCTTTTGTGGGGCAATTAGAACTGTAATTTGCATCACTGCGTAGATCAAAGCGTGATAAAGAGTTTTAAGTTTCAGAGTTTCATTCTTGCCACAGAGCAAGAATGGGGGTAGGGATTATCATGGTAGATGTACACAGTAGATTGTGTAAATATTTAATTATTTATTAAATAATTAGTACTCAGAATCCTCAGAAGTGAAATCCTTGGATGGATTTGAGTTCTGAAAAAGGCTTTATGTCCTAAAAAAGGAACCTAATTTAGTGTCTAACATTTCTGTCCCCCAGAAAGATCTTTCTCATGTGTAACCCATATTTATCTTTGTTTTGAATTAAGGGCTCTTGCATTTTGATTCCTTCCCAGTGTCAAGATAATCATGGTAAAGATAATAAAACCAGAGTTGGAAAGTGTGTTAGTGCAGAAATCTCTAGCAAGAACCTCTTAGTGATCTTAACAGGAAAAGTAAGGCTTTCCTCTTTTCCTGCGGTCATCTCCTGGGCCTTAAGGTAGACTCAGCCTAAAGGGGTATCTCATTCTATGTTTGCGTTTAGATAAAGCTGCCTTTTGGGGAACAAACTTTGGAAAAGGAGTAAGGGGGATAGACTTCGTTCACTTACACCTTAAGAACTATACTTTCTGTTTCAGGACAATAAAAGAGTGTAAATATGCTGTGGAATAACATTGCATCTATGAATCTATTAGTATATTGCTACCAAAGGCCTAATCATTTTTAATTTAATTATAATTGATCTAGGTCTAAGTAAGAGGCTTCCTCATACGTGGGTGTTTTTGCAGTGTATTTATTGTTAGAGTTTGTTCTTTGTTTTCTACATATTTTTCATCTTGTCCCTTTTTTTCTTTGTCATCCACAGGTTCGAGAACTCGTCTTGGATAATTGCAAATCAAATGATGGAAAAATTGAGGGCTTAACAGCTGAATTTGTGAACTTAGAGTTCCTCAGTTTAATAAATGTAGGCTTGATTTCAGTTTCAAATCTCCCCAAGCTACCTAAATTGAAAAAGGTAAGTGCTTTTTTCTTTAACAGTAAAAGGTAATCGTCTGGGAAGGGAAAATGTATGATTTTTACCTGTAAGGAAGCACTTAGTGTAGCAGAAAGCACATGGCCTTTGGAACTGGATAGGTATGGGATTGAATTCCAGCTCTGTCATTTCCTTGATGGGTGATCTTCTGCAAGTTACTTAGGCTCTCTAAGGCTCAATTTCTTCACCTGTAAACTGGTGATACCACTTGACCTTGCAGAATTGCTGTGATGTTTGGAAATTATGCATGTTGGATACTCAGTAGTTATGAAGCACAATTGTTTCGTGAATAATTTATTTGTAATTGTTATAAATTTATTATTATAGTGTTAACTAGATTTTGTTCTTAGTATGATCTGGTTCAGGAACTACAGGTGCCTCCCACTCTTTGTGTTTTATGTCTTTTGACTAAGGGTGAGTTTACTACAGGCTTTCAGATTTAGTCTATGATAATGCAAACTCATTGTGTAATTCTTAATAACTAGGAAGTTTGAAATGTGTTGCGATTGACTGGAAGAATTCAATGTAACAAAGCTCTGTATTTTCCTGTCCTAATTGATGGCCCATTGTTAGTGCTTTACTGGTCTAATTACAACCAATTCTCTATCTCCTCCAATTCTTCCCCCTCCCAAAATAGTACTAAACACTCAAGAAAAGTGTTTTCTCTTGTCCTTGTACATTTAACTGTCACAGAGTCCCAGTTAGAAGAAACTTTGATCCTCTTACACAGCCCCTTTTTTTGTAGGCACAGCAGCAGACCCAGAAATGGTGAGTGCTAGAGCCAAAACTAGAATCCATGTGTCCTAACCCAGTATCTTTTTTACTACATTAGGAGAATGTGTGGTTATATAAGTTGTGTAGAATTCTACACTGTTCCAATATTCACTTTCTTAGGAAACTTAAGTTATCTTTAGGAAAGGCATACATAGACATTTATAATCAAATTAATTAGACAAAGGGCCAGTAAGTTGTTCCTAGAGATTGCTGTTGTCCTGAGAGGGATTTGAGGGGTTTTTTTTTGTTTTGTTTGGTTTTGTTTGGTTTGGTTTGGTTTGGTTTGGTTAAGTATGTGAATTAAAAACTGGAAGTGTTGGGCCGGCCCGGTGGCGCACTGCTATAGTGTGCTGCTTGGGAAGCACGGTGGCGCTCCCGCCGAGGGTTCGGATCCCACATACAGACCGGTTTCCGCTCACTGGCTGAGCGAGGCGCGGGAGCAACACCAAGGGTTGCGATCCCGTTGCCGGTCCTGGTCCGGTATGGGGGCGACACTGAGGGTTGCGATCCGTTGCCGGACACGGAAAAAGACCAAAAAAAAAAAAAAAAAAAACTGGAAGTGTTTATTTGCCTTGACTAGGTAATAAATGCTCAGAGAGCCCTCATGAGTTTCAGGTGACGTTTCTGATGAGATAGAAATGTCCACTTTCTAAATATCTTCTTCAGAGATTCAAATATAATCCTTTTATATTTGGATGGGTTATCAGTGATAGTGGAAGCTCTGATTAGCCCAGTTAAACATAGGATGGCTTTTTTGCATCTATTTGCATTAACTTGATGCTAGCAGATCCCTAGTTTGTGTTTTGTGTTCTGTTTTCCTAGCATCCTAATATATTTTCTTGAATCACTACGGTCTCTGTAATATCAGACTTATACAGAAAAGTCAGACTACCGGTGATCTTTTATATGGGGGCTTTATGAAATTTTTCTGAAGTTTTAAAACATTAATCACTCCCCTTATAGGGCTAATGAGGGGGGTTATAGGGCTAATGAGGGGGGTTATACTTAATGGCAGATTAGATGTTCTCATAGCTGGTAAGGGTTTTATTTTCTTTGTGCTCCAGAGCACAGACTGTTTTTAACAAGAAACAAGTAGTCAAAAAAAAATACTTATACAGATGTCACAGGCTTCCTTAAGTTACATGTTTGCTTCATTTCAAAATAAGTATGCTATTAAATGCTTTGGATTGCCTTGTTAGCTCTACTCTTTAAGATATTCATGTTGAAAAGGGCTGTGTATAATATTCTAACCACATGGTCTAAACAGACCAAGAAAAGTGGTCTCTTTGAGTTACTGAAATCACCAATAAAGCTAACATTTTGAATCTATTGATTACAGACAGACTTGTATTTTTAAATCTAGACCATGACTTAGGTGTTTGACTGGAATATCCTGTTGGAAAGAAAAAAATGTTTTGAAATATTTAGTTTTTCTCTTAACTCCTAAGCAGCTGACTTGAGTTGTTTTTGAAAGTTCCTCTGCTCTGCATCATGAAATACGTTTCATTGCATACCAGAAACTTACATGAAGTTTTCGTGCTGTGTTCATAGCACAGAGAGGGAGGGACGTAGGTTCTTATGAAGCTAGCCTGCCAGGCTTTAAATCATAGGCCCACCCCTGTAACAGCTATGTGATGTTGGGCAACTTACACAATCTCTTCGTGGTTATTTTCCTCATCTGTAAATGGGGTAACACTAGTAATTCTACCTACCCCATAGGGTGGTTGTGTGATCAGATGAGTTTGTGTCTTTCTAGTGCTTTAAACAGTGCCCGGCACTTAAGTACTATGTGTAAGGGTTAGGTACAGTTACCATTGTTCTTGGTACTACATAGAGAACTAGAACCAGCTGTGTAGCCTAAGTTTTTTTCATCTGCAAAAGGAAGAGCTTGAATTAAATGTTCTCCACAGTGCTTGCCAGGCTCTGATTCCTTGTACTCTAAAATTGTAATCATTGGTGAAGGCTCATTTCTTCATTGGGACACTACATGCCTGTGCTACTTGACCTGCAGCTAAGAAATTAGAGTAGGTTCTTAAATACCAGTGCCAGGTTTATGCAAGAAGTTGCCTCAGGGAGCTGGTTTCATAAACTTGAGGCTGTTGCCCCACTCCCTTTCCTGAGGTCATGAAGCTTCTTAATAGGCTCCTTTCTGGGGCCTATCCCACTCCTTTGGCCTTCAGAGATACATTCCCCTGTGGCTTCTAGATGTAGAGCACCATAGTGTATCAGCACTGTCCAGAACCAGATCAGGTTTCCAGTGGGCATTGCCAGCTTTGCTTGGAACTCAATAAGCTGCTCAGAATGCATGGACCATTTACCCTTTCTGGCAGGTATAGAGTATTACAACTTCTCAAAGAGTTCTAATTTGTTTTGATCCACTTTTCAGGTAAGAAAATGAATTCACCGATGTTAGAGGCCAGTTCTCAAGCAAACTGTTATTAGCAGCTGGTTAAGAAAACACAGCACTTCTCACCCTATCCTACCACTCCACCCCCCATGTTGCTGGAATCTGAAAATTACTTATGGATTTAATCAAACAAAATTAACATACGTGCCCTAATTGAAAGAGGTATCATTTGATCTAGATAAGTACTTGTTATTTATAACCCCTTAATGATGTGGTTTCTTTGTGTGTATTTGTGTGTGTGCTGTGTTCATTTTCTCTTGTAGCTTGAGCTCAGTGACAATAGAATCTTTGGAGGTCTGGATATGTTAGCAGAAAAACTTCCAAATCTCACACATCTAAACTTAAGTGGAAATAATAAACTGAAAGATATCAGCACTTTGGAACCTTTGGTAAGTATTTGAGAATTTGGAAACTAGGATATATTGGTCATTTTCATTTTCATATTTCTTTATAGTGGGGGAAATGATTGGGAATAATAATTGAGAAAGTGATTTTTTTTACTTTTTGTAGGAGCCACGATTTTAAAGACCAGGGCCTCTCTAATTACATGTATTCCTGCAGCTTTCTCTCCCTGCCTAATATTGTGGTGGCTGCCTTCAAAAGGGGAATTTCTGGGTTTAGGAGGATTTTCCTGTCCTTTTTAAAATTTATATATTGACTGTAGCCTTGAAACATGTCTCTTTAAATGTCTTTCCCCAGACTGTCTAAACCGTTTTGTACTTTTAAACTTTAATAGAAGAAGCAATGTATGTTCGGTGGCATATCTGAATTGTAGGTGGAACAATCAGGAACAGCTCCAATAAGTTTTAGGTCTTCTAATTCATGATCTTGTGCTATAGCTGGATGACTATTGTCTAAAGTTTTGCATGGAAACCCCAGGATCCTCCTTAGTCTTGCATATTGGGATAAACTATGAAAAGCTAAGTTTAAGTACCACTCGGGTGATAGACTTGCTGTGTGACCTTGGGCAAATCGCTTCTTCCCTCTGGGCCTCAGTTTCCTCATTTATGAAGCAGAGAGGACAATAATCCCTGCCTTACTTACCTCACTTAGGAGTTCTGAGAATAAAATAAGGTAATGTACTTACTTTTCTTTGTAAGTTAGGAAGCTATACTAATGGGGGTCCAGTCTGTGTGGAAGTTGTAGTGGCTAGAAAAGAGCTCCTGGAGGCAGGGGTTAATGCAGGGTGTGGGGTAAGCCCTACAGGCTGTGCTTTTGGGGAGAGGATTACGCAGAAGATAGGGGCTAAATTTGAGGATCCAGAAGAACAGAACCCAAGAGGAAAAAATATTTTTCGCTGTTGTCTATCTTTTCTGATGTCACATATATTAAAATATGTGGATTTCACATCACTTGTATACAATCCTCTTTTGATATTTCGGGGTAAGATGGAGTTAATTTGGGGCTGCTCTTAATGAAGAGGATTTTCTGCCAGAATTCTAGGGTCTTTTCCTTCCTAATCAATAATTGAGACTGTGCTCCAGTGCAGACCTAATCGGCTTTTACTGAGTCTTTTTATTTTTACATTTCATTAAGCGGACCATATTTAAGAGGTGGAAGCTTAGTTTTTCATCTTTGCTCTGTGAATCTTCCCCCTACCTTGCCTTTTTTTTTTTTTTTTTTTTTTTTTTTTTTTTTTTTTTTTTTTTTCCTTTCTCTTTTTTCTTTTCTCTTATAGATATGCCCAGATACTCAGGCTCCCTCAGTTTTACTAATTCCCTTTTTTGCCCCTCCAAACCAACTCTCATTTCCAATGTTTAAGCAGATCCTTTATTGAATTATGCTGTATTCAGAGATACTAATATTTGCCCATTGTATCGTCATATAACCCAGAGAAGAGAGAATGACTGTCCTCTTTTTAGAGATGAACAGAGTTTAGAAACCTTAAATAATTACTTGGGATAAATGGCAGACTTCAAATCCAAGTCCACTGTTCTTTCCACTGCCCTTGGGACCTGTTCTACTCTTTCTACCTAGAAATTTATTCCATACCCAGATTTTTCTAAGCTGGGAATAAGAATGCTTTCCCAGTAAGATGGGCTACACTAAGCCTTTGTTTATTGGCTAATGACAGTCCTATTAATTCTGGGCCACTATAAGCGTAGGAACCCATACCTTTTTTTTTTTTTTTTTTTTTTTTTTTTTTTTAAAGAACAGAGTACCAGGCAGTACCTTTCCATGCTAGGTGACTGGCTATTGCCTAATAATTCTCATGGCCACCTGAGTCCTCTGGTCATAAGAAGCCTTTGTCAGTGTTGTAGCATACAGAGTCGGAACGTAAGCAAGTAGTGTATGGAGGGTTGTTTTCTTGAGTGTTCCTGATCTGGTCAGTAAATGTATGAGGGCCTTTTGGTGGCTGTGAAAGTCGCAGTCTCCCAGGACAGTGAGGGATGAGAAATAATCTTTATTGTATTTACAATTTTGGGAGGATCTGTTATGCCCATACACTATGCTGGGTACATGCTATCTTAATTAATTGTCAAAAAACAGCTCTACAAAGTGGATAGAAATAGCATAGCCCCCCCCCCCCCCCCTTTTTTTTTTTTTTTTTTTTTTTACACTGAGGAAGCTAAGGCTTGGGTGAGGCTGAATCCCTTGTCCAGAGTCACACACACTCTGTGGCAAAGCCACAGTGCTGCACACCAGGGCTATTTGGAAAAGCCTGAGTTCCTGCCATTCTGCTATACTTGCTGTTCAGATGTCCAGAGTCACACACACTCTGTGGCAAAGCCACAGTGCTGCACACCAGGGCTATTTGGAAAAGCCTGAGTTCCTGCCATTCTGCTATACTTGCTGTTCAGATTCCTGGGGATATTAACTTGTAATGAAGTAAATCTAGAGGAGAAGATGAAGGGGGGAAATGTTGGGTACATTTTGTCTTCTGAAAGTATTCTTCAGTGGGGAAAAACACCATCCTCATCCTCATTAACCACATACATTTTGAACACCGTCTACTTTGAGCCCAGTTCTTAAAGTCAATGCAATGATTGTGAATGCCTCTGCTTACTACAGGGACATTAATCGAGAGACAAAGAAGGCATCAATTCAAACTTCCTTGGACACCTTTTTTAAGAGACCTGGGCCATCCAAACCATCCCCCAAAGCCCTTCTAAATTCTAAGAAGGCAAGCAAAATTATTGTTAATAATGTTTAATGTGTATTATGGCTAGCCTACTAGCTTAGGTCAAATTTCTAGTATGGTAGAGTTGTAATTTTTTTAGCAGTATTTACACATTACATTGAAATCCTGAATAATCTGTGTATAGTGTATTTTAAAGGCCCTTTGGACCTTAAAGCACAATTTTACTACTTTAAACAATTCTAGAATACTGCAATAATTTGGGATTTTTTTGTTGCTGTTGTTTACTTGCTTTCCTTTCATTTTCTAGCATACTGTTTGGTATGTACGAATTATGTGATGATGGGTGCTTTTGTCAGGAAGTAGCCAGAAATCTCACAGATTCATATAGTTTAAGAAACAGGAGAGCCTTGGAGGCCCTAGAGGTACTGGAATAATCAATAAAACTAGAGAAAGGGCTTTGGGCATTATAAAGCATTAGATAAATATCAGAGGTTGTATGCATTGTTATGCACCCATTCCTAGGAAATAATTTTGAGATACAAATGGCTTATTCCTTTCAGTGAAGAATTTTTAGACTGAACTTCTTTGGGAAGCTGCCTAAGTTTTCTTATGGCTTTATCTTAGCTGGTGTAGAGTCAGCCTTTGTGAAGAAAGCCAGTATGCTAGCTAGTTGTCTGGGGTGGTATTGTAGCGTTTTTCCCTCTTTGGCAGGAAGTCTAAGCTGGGCTTCTGGAGGTAAGGGCCTGCCCAATAGGGAACCTAATCTGAAAGTTACATGATACAAAAGCAGTTCTCCCTATAACTAGAGAGCCTGAGGACAGCTTTCTTAAAATGTCAGGGAACTGACATGCATAAGCTTGTTATTTGATCCACAGACTCTTGGATCATTATACATTTGTGTTTTGAGGAGTACATTTGCCTGTTACTGTAACTGCTCTGTGTTTCCTGCTTTTCTGTGTGTTCTCAAGGGCTACTCAGTGAGAATTAAAACATGTGTAGGAACCTCTTCCTGGATCAGGAAGATGAAGATTCTTTAAGTGCAGGGCTCAGCATCAGATAGTAGATATATCAGGCTTTGTAGACAATATTGTCTCTGTCACAACTATTCAACTTCACTATGGTTGCACTAAAGGAGCCATACATAATACATAAACAAATGAGTGTGGCTGTATTCCAGTAAATCTTGTTTTACAAAAACAGGCAGTGGCCCAGAATTGGCCAGTGGACCATGGTTTGCCAATCCTTGCTCTAGAACTCAAGATTTCCAGTCATTTTGTATCTCCCCAGAATTGCGTAGATACAGCAAGTCCTGAAAGCAAGGTTTTGTTTTGTCTGCATTTCTTCCCAGGTCCTTGTCAATGTTGTAATAGCTTTCCCACTAAAGCATCAAAGTCTTTTAAGCACCAACATTTAATTTTTAGAACTTATTTTATGCAGAGATCTTCTTAATGTTTGTTTGCAGTTTTTTTAGTGCTTGTTTTCTTAGCAAATACCAAGCCTTTTCTCTTGATTCAGAACCGTTAAAAGTTACATTTATAAAGCTGTATAGTCATATGCACTGCAGGGCTTATTGACCCTATTCTAAAAGGCTCCAGGCTATATAGTCCTTCACATTTTGTGTTTACTTTCATAGGCTACTCCTCCTACCTATAAGGGTTTGCTGCCACTTCCTGTTGCTGTCTCCTGACTTGCATGTAATAGTACCTCTGCCCTCTCAATCTCTTAATTCACCCTTAATAAAAATTTGAAAGACCTGGGATAGAAATACTAGTACACTGATATAACAACAAATGAAGATCTGAGTATGGACATTTTCCTGTCTATTTTGGCTACTCAGAAAAATTTCCTTGGGCCAAGTTTTTAGATCTTAACTGTTTAATATAGATGAAGCTGATGGTTCTAAAAAATTAGGAAGGTATGGTAAAACCAGAAGAATTTTACATCAGAAAAGTCTGACAATCAAGTCAATCTTTTTCCCAAAAATTAAGAAAAGATTGTATTTCCTAAATTTCAACTGAGTCCCCTTCTTTCCCCAGACTATATTGATTCCTATTTTCCCTGAAAATATCTGCATTGCCACACTTTATATTTTATTATATTCCATCTTCTAGTGTTTCACATCTGTGTCCCCAAGTGGAATTCTAAGCTATTTGAGACTGAGGACTATTATAAATCTCTGAATTTTCCCATATACTAGCACCTCAGAGCATTAAAGACTGCTTGAAACCCAGCAAGTTCCTATTGGCCATTTTATTACTCAGATGTTAAAACTTAGCTTCGAACTAAAGTTATTAAAGTATCTGTGCCTGAAAAGGACATAGTTGTCTGGGAGAGTAGATATAAGGAGAGAGGGACTAGTTAAAGTCTAGTAGCCTAACATAAAGATTGCAAAGGACTTGATGTGTTTTCCTATGTAGAAGGCTGAGTAGGTAACAGCTAAGTGAATACAGAGCCTAGAATTTTACCTCTTCTGGAGATGGATTTTGTTGCTTATGTTCCTTTGGTTTAGGAGTTTTGTTTTGATCCTTTTCAGAAAAAGTTGGACTGTCTGAAAAGCCTGGATCTATTTAACTGTGAGGTTACTAACCTGAATGACTACCGAGAGAGTGTCTTCAGGCTTCTGCCCCAGCTCACTTACCTGGATGGCTATGACCGAGAGGACCGTGAAGCCCCTGACTCAGATGCTGAGGTAGATGGTGTGGATGAAGAGGAGGAGGATGAAGGTGAGTGGACTCAACATCCAGTGAACTTGATTTCTTACTTTCAATGGTCCTGATAAAAGTTGCTGAATGTTCTTGCTATTGAGAAAATTGTCTATGCATGTAGGCATTTCATTAAATTTGGAACTAGGACCTCTGTTTAATTTTAATAAACTCTTGGGACATTGAAGCCTTAAAATGATTCAAAATACAGTGAAAATGGTTTGTTAGCAAATGATCGTTCGAATTTTAGCCTAGAGATTATAAGACGGCTTCTGTTCAGCCCATTGAAGAACTCATAGGGTACTCAAAAAAACATGGTCTTATGTCTCCATGCCTTTCTCCTACCTTTCCCCTTTCATAGTTACTGCCTACTTTTCCTTACAAACTGAGCTTTGTTGGCACCTCCAGGAAGCATTTCCTGATGTACACAGCTAGCTTAGGTTCCTGTGCATGCTAGACTACCTGCTTACTTGCTCTTACAGACTTGCCACTGTGCTATTCTTAACTCTTCCTACAGTGCTACAATTATCTTGTTGGGTAGACACTGTCTTTTATCTCTATACATAGGGCTTGGCACTTAGTAGGTACTTGGTATATATTTATTATAGCCAGATATAAATAAAATAGCTCTCCTGCCTTTGGTACATGACTGGAGTTTAAGAAGGTAATGATTTCACAGTATATATGTTAGATTCCAGTTTTCATTAATAAGGGAAATAATCTCTGGTCATACTGTGAAGTTAAAATATTGTTCTCAGTATTTCTAGCAATTGATCAAGGGTTTTTACATACCAGTTACCCTTTTTTATTTTTGGCTGCTGGCTGTTTTGGGGATCCGAACCCTTGACCTTGGTGTTATAACACCACACTCTAACCAACTGAACTAACCAGCCAGCCCCTTATACCAGTTATCTTTAAGAATCTTTTTATATATTTTTTTACCCAAAATATCCCTCCTGATTAACTTGTGTTTTTCTTGCACATGGACTCATTTTACTCTGAGTCACTCTTCTTAGGATAAAAGGTTTCTCACCTCCAAGTGGCTTAGAGGAAGCAGAGCAATTAGTTTTCGTATCAGTCACCACAAAGAAAACTTGGTCTCAGAATTCCTGATGTGGCTGGAGTTCATAGTATTGTTACATTTTAAGCATCTTTTTTCTTTAAACAGTAACAAAAATGACACGTTTCTTGTCCTTGGAGCTTATTATCTACTAAGAGAAGAAACATTTTTAAAGAAAAATCATAATTACAAGTGAGCAAATTGTGCTATAATGGAGAGACACCAGGCGCTCATGTGAGAGCCTGTAACCTGGGATTAGGAGGTCTTGCAAGACTGCCTCAGGAAGTGATGTTAACTAAGATGCAAAGGTTGAGTCTGAATTAGCCAAGCAGAGAGGAAGGGAAGAGCATGTGGAGGCCAGGAGGCAGGAGAGAGCATAGTGAGCTTTGGGACCTAGGAGAAGGAAGAACTGCTATACTAGAGGTCAGCACCTAGTGGTGTGGAGACCGAGCTACCTCTCAGCCTCCTATCCCCCGAGTCACAGCGTTATCATGGGTGTCTCTCAGGTTCCTGATTTGAGCAACTGGTTCTGGTGGTATGTTACCCAAGAGAAGGAGCATGATTTTTTTTTTTTTTTTTTTTTTTTTTTTTTAAACTTTTTACTGTGGGAAATTTTAGTCATTGACAAAGGTAGAAATAGTGAAATGAGCCCCCGTATTCTTCTCATCTCTCATCTTCAGCAATTATTGGTCATTGCTGATCTTGTTTTATATGGACAAACTCCTGTCTACTTCCCCCTTTCTGTATTATTTTGAAGCAAATCTCAGATATTGTAACATTTCACTGGTAAGAATTGTAGTGTGTATCTGGTCCACCAGACCTCTAGCCTCTTGATTTTATGGGACTCTCTTGGACAGAGGGACTGGGCTGTGCAGTACTTGGTAGAAAGAGGATCACTGCGGTTCACGGTCTCCCCTGGTGTTGGTGCAGCCCAGCTTTTGTCCTCTGGATCAGCCTATAGCTCCCCACTACCTTAGCAGATGTGCCCCATGGAGCATCAGGGGTATTTAATTAATTCCTTTTTGTACTATTTTCAGAAGGAGAAGATGAGGAAGACGAGGAGGATGAGGATGGTGAAGAAGAAGAGTTTGATGAAGAAGAGGATGAAGATGAAGACGAAGATGTAGAAGGGGAAGAAGATGAAGATGAAGTCAGTGGAGAGGTCAGTGCAACTTTTCTGCCCTGTGTTCTATATCTAGTCACAACAAAAGTGTGGTTTTTAAAAGTTCTAGAAAGAAAAGGGCCTTCTGAAGAAATCAGTATACTTGTAATAGACTCATATTGTGAATCTGATTGATTTAGCTTTCGTCCCCCTTTTTATAAATACTAAATGGAATGCCTACTGAATGCCATCTGGATACAGTGCTTGGCTCTGCAGGGTAAGTTTTGGCCTTTTAACTTTAGAAGGAAGGAACACATTTAGTATTGAGTAGGGTGAGAAAACTGGAAATGTTGAGAATTTATGGCATGTCTGTTCCTTCATTCTATTGAAGGGAAGTATATGTTTATCAAGTCTGAACTTATTCTTACGTATTCAGTTTAATACAGTAAATATATTGTATACCTGCTATGGTAAAGAGCTGAGTGTGTAAAGTTAAATAAGAATGTTGTCCTGCCATGAAATAGTAGGTAATCTAGTTTATGGAAAACCCAATAATACAATATCTCTGAGAAAGTGAATGCTATAGGAGAACAGGAGAAAAGAGGGGAACTTGACTTTGACCCTCCAGGAGATTTGGGAAATAGGCAGAAAAAGTTAGCTGTCATCAAAAAGCATTTTGTCGGGCCGACCCGGTGGCGCACTGGAGAGTGCGCCGCTTGGGAGCGTGGCGGTGCTCCCGCCGTCGGTTCGGATCCCATGTGGAGACCGGTTCGCGCTCACTGGCTGAGCGTGGTGCAGGCGCAACACCGAGGGTTGCGATCCCATTACCGGTCAGTAAAAAAAGACAAAAAGGAAAAAAAAAAAGAACAAACAACAAAAAGGCAGAGAACTAGTCTAGATTAAAAGGGACTAAAGAGTATAGTAGCCAAGTAAAATGCATGAAGCCGATCCTGAATTTAAAAAATAAAATAAACACATTTTAAGATGATTTAGGAAGATTTATTTGAATTCAGAGTATAGTAGATATATTCTGGAATTGTTAAATTTCTCCAGTGAGAAAATCTTATGGTTTTATAGGACACTGTCCTGATTCTTAGGAGATGAATGCTGAAGTATTTTTGAGGTGCAAAATCTTAACTTTCATATGTTCAGCCAAAAAAATGAATGTTTAGGAAAATAAAGTAAATATGGCAAAAGTAAATATGGTAAAGTGTATTCTTTAACTTTTCTATAGTTGAGATTTAAAAAGATAGCATCAGCCTGTGAGAGGGTTAGAGAGAAAGACTGTGGGTCTGTCTCATGCATATACCTGGCCATTCAAAAAAATTAGATGAAAACTTCCATTATTTAGAATTTGATACCACTGAGAAGAAAATTAAGTGCCCTTGACCCTAGTGGTCTTCACACGCATGCACTTGTATAGTTGTGTCATCTGTGCTGGCGCAGCCCTCTGCTACCACAGCAATTAATAGTACCTGAGGGCAGGAGGCCTGGTCCATCCTCAGTCCCCATGTTTTAAATGTGGGTTTGACTCCATGATTTGGTTTACTGCCAAGCATGAGATTTCTGTGTTTGGAGTTCTTTCATAAAAAGGATTTAATAATTGGATCATAATTTTTCAGGATATACAAATAGTGTCTTTCCAGTTTTATCAGTATTATTTCTTTCCAACAACTAGTACTACTGAAATAGCTGCAGTTTATTTAATGCTCATTGAATACAGATTCTTATGGTTGTTTAGGTCTCGGGAAAACAAGTTGTTAGTTGTACTTTCCATTGGTTCATATTTTCTCAGCTTTTGCTCTATGCCCCATACTGGACTAATTTTACACTGGATATTACTCTGGTTAGGGCCTGGTCACTGCTTTCAAGGAGCTTTTTGGAACATAGATTTAGCTAATTTCATTAAAATACCTGTGAATTTTTATTAGTTGAAAAAACAGAATTGTGTATGTCTCTGTCTCAATACATAAATATTAAGAAATCCGTTTTTAGTTAATGTTAATTTGCTACAATTTGAATTTTAACCATGTTGTATGCTAACTACTTCGTGTGTCTCATTTGATTCTCAGAATAACCCTTTCAAGTCAATATCATTGTCCCCATTTTACAAAGAAACAAGGCTTACAGAGGTCGTGGTGTGCCCAAAGTTACTTATAAACAAGCGTGGCTCAAAAACAGACTAGCTAACTCCAGAGTTTTTACAATGCATTTTAACAATTGCTAGATGTCTAATTGGTGGGGCCAACAAATTAAGAAGAATAAGAAACATTGGGAAGAAAACTTAAGATCGAGAAAACTGGGTTAACTTTGCCATGTGAGTTGAGGTGCTGCAATGCATTTTGCCCTTCTTGGCTCTGTGGTCACCACTTATACTTGCTTTTAATTAGTGCCTCTTAGTCAGTAACTGTTAAATTGATCAAGTTTGCATCTTTTATCAGCCAACCATCAAAAATTTGTCATTTCCTCCATTATCAATAACCTAGGTAAAATGTCTTTCCAATGGTCTCAAAGCCCATTTGTGTTATTGTACAGAGGAGGAAGAAAGCGGGAAAGGTGAGAAGAGGAAGAGAGAAACAGATGATGAAGGAGAAGATGATTAAGACCCCAAATGGCCTGCAAAAACAGAACTGTTCAGTATTGGTTGGACTGCTCATGGATTTGGTAGCTGTTTTAAAAATAATAATAATAATAATAAAGGTAGCTGTGATACAAACCCCAGGACACCTACCCACCCAAAGAGCCAAAGAATAGTTCCTGTGACATTCCACCTTCCTCCATTTAGTCCCTCTTGGTAATCCACCACCAAGCTTGGGGACTTTACCCCAACAAAATTGTAAGCGTTGTTAGGTTTTCGTGTAAGACTCTTGCTGTAGTGTGGATAGCTGTGATTGGTGAGTCAACTGTCTGTGGCTACCAGTTACACTGAGATTGTAACAGCATTTTTACTTTCTGTACAACAAAAAAGCTTTGTAAATAAAATCTTAACATTTTGAAAAAATAATAAATAAATGTCTTACTTTAAGGAACACACGTATGTGGGGGGGATTCTTATCTCTCATCTATATGAGGTCTGTTTTTCTATGCCTTTTTTTTTTTTAAGTGAATTTTACATTAGGACATATTAAGTGACAACTGCCAAAAAAGTATTTTTAAGAATTTAAGTGAAAGAAACACATTACTCTTTGGCAAAGTCTAGTCATATGCTTACATTTTAAAATTAGACTGTACACTCATGTTAAAACATACTAATGAACTGGTTTCTTTTTATATATATATATTAGTGGGTTATTGAAGGGAAATTCACAAGTGTGTAAGATCTTTGAGCATTTAAATCTAATTCTTTAAATCTAATCCTTTGAGCATTTAAATCTAATTCTTTACGACTGTGGGCGTAAATGAGGTAGATTTTTTAAAAATAATGTTCACAATTGAATGCTCTGGAGCCCCTGAAAACCAGTAAAATAATGTTAGGCTCAAGTAATAACATTAATTGAGAAAAAAGGATAGTGTAAAGGAAAAGGCCTTAACCACAGTCTTGGGAGATCTGAATTCTAGTTCTGGCTCTGTCACTGTGACCTTGCATTGCACTCTGGGTCACCTCTCAGTCTGTAAAATTGAGGGGGTGTAACCAAATGGCTTCTGAAGTCTCTTGCAGTGCTGATGGTCTGTGACCCTTGCTGACAGGAAGGTCTGGGGGGAAAAATGGGTTTTGCACAGAGGCTGAAACATGTAGGGTTTGACTGACAGGTGAACAGAGTATGGCTTGTTATCAAGACAGGCGTGCTAAGGAGGAATGACATGTGAAAAGCCTCACTGAGGAGTGGGTAGGCATTGCCTGAGGTCAACTTATCTTTTCCAGAAGATGGAAATTTTCTCTATTCTTACAGATCTTAAAGGAATTTGGGTGAGGGGAAGGATATTGTGCAGTCTATAGTCAGTGGTTCAACCATGTAATGAAAATAGATACATGACTATATTGTCAATAATAGTTTTTTATAGTGGAAGATTTGAAGGTTGTTTTAGTAAATTTTAGGCATGTAAAAGCGACATGAAAAATTATAATCTAATTTGAATTTACAGCTAGAAAAAGTTGTGTAGTCTCAGTGGAGCCCCCAAATTGTGTACTGTAAAATTGAAGTCTCCCATATACCTTAAAGTGGAGCTTATTTTTTGCAAAGGAAATTCAAGAAAATTGAATTTCATTTCTGGTTAAGTGGTGTTACTTTGTTTTCCCTGACCACAAGGCCTTATATGCCATTTGGCAAACCCTCGATACATTGTAAAATGGTTTCTTTTATAACCCAGGTGTTCTTAAGGTTTTTCATATGTTCTCAAATATCAAACATGGTAACTTTGGATGGTTATTTTTCCTGCTTTTCCAAATTTGTAGAACTTTTCAGTATCTACGGAGCACCTAGGATATGCCAAGCTCATTGGCTGGGCAAGAGGGAGGAGGATTGGATTAGAGACAAGTCAGCTTGGTGCTCATAGTCACTAGTAAGGAAGAGAAAACATGTAAGTGCTATTTTCTAGGACCTAGGAATAAGTGTTAAGGTAGTCCAGAGGCTGGAGAGGTGATGTTCAAGTAGGAGAATCTGGGAAGTTTCCTAGGAAGGGAAAGTATTTGAGATGCATGTGCAAGGGTTTAGACATAGGAATGGAGAAAGGGAGAGAGGATCATGATAAGCAGAGGTCAGAGGTAGGAAATTGCTGAGTACATTTAGGTACAAATTGGCAGATCTGATAGAGAATGAGACAGGAATGAAAGGTGAGACTGGAGAAGTAATCTGGGTTCTCCCAGACAGCCTTGAAGGTTGAACCTTTTCTTGGGCATTTACCTTGTGTAAAATTTCAGCTTGACCTACATATAGCCAATGAGGATGTTTAGGGAATTATCAAGCCAGGACTTCATTTTGATCATGTTTTTCTTTTAAAATTAGTTTACCTGAAGCCTTTGACATCATTCTGTTCTCTGGTAGAGGCTTGAGGCTCAGCCACCCTGGGCTAAAGAATATAATATTTTCAGAGAAGTAAGGTTTTGGTGATGAGGTCACAGAACAGACCATATTTTTGGAGTTGTCTCCCATCAGAAGGAGAACTACAGTGAGTGGGTTTGCTTCCAGCTCTTGCAGCAAATATTTGAGATATAAAATATCCAAGCATGGTGGGAACTGTTATAGGCTAGATGACCCCTGGCTAGTTCTTGCGTGGTTATTAGAGGTGTGTTCTACACACACAAATGTGTGTGTGATATATTGGTGTGCTATTTGGAGCTATGGTTCTATGCTTTAAAAGGTTGAAGCCTCATTGTAGAAATGGGGAAACAGGCACGGGAGAGGGGCCAGGACTACCCCAAGAGGAAAGAACCTAACCTGGAAACCATGTGGCCTTGTTTTCAACAGTGTGCCCTTGCTCGAGGAGCTTCACTCCTGCTCCAGGAATCTAGGCCCTGAAGAGTGACTGACATTGCTGACCTGGAAATGCAGAGCATCTTGTGTACCCCTCCCACACCACTACCTAGCAACCCTCCCATACCACCACTACCAGGGCTCCTAACTAGGACATGCTGAGGGATAGGGATAGGAGGGCCCAACTGTTTTCATGACTGGCATGCCTATTTGGGCTACACTACCCTAACACCAGAGAAACGTGAGACAGACCACAAAGGAGGTCTACCCTTATGCTGTGACCTTCCATTTTCTCCAGCCCTTCACATTGTGCTGACATCAATTTTAATGAGGCTGATGATATTGCTGTGCTGACAGTTTGAAAAGGGAGTCAAGTTACTAGCAGACTTAAGCTTCGGCCGGCCAAACAGTTGTGCTTGAAACCCACCAAGGTTGCAGTGACACGGTGTGGAAGTTCTTCCCAGAGCCAATTAGGTCAGCTTGATAATCTCTGCTCAAATGGGTATTTTATAACTTGGTCCAGAGCTGTTGGGGTGGGCATATGGAGAAAAAATAACAGTTTGAGTTACTCTGTGTCTGATTAAGGGGACTTGATCCCTGGCCAGGAGTGGGTAGGGGTGTGTTTGTTCACGACAGCACTGCCCCCACTGCAGCCCTGGGGGAGGAGGAGTGAAGGTGTGGTTAGGGAGACCCATACTGAGAATCCCAAACACCTGTGTCCTAGCCCTAACCCTGACCCAGCCACCAAGTGGGATTTGACCCTCCTCAGTCACTTCCCCTCTGTGAGCCTCTAGTTCCTCAACTGAAAATCTGCAAGTGAGTGTGCAGGTGGTCCAGCTGTACAAATCCCGATGTACACTGCAAGTTCTAACCAGCAACGGGGATGCTAGTTGTTACTCGTGCTGTTACTCCCAGTTACCCTCCTGAGGAGTAGGTGAGGGTTTGGGCTAGTGAGAAATGTCAGACCTGTTCTTTTAGGCTGATGGAATAGAAAGGGATAGACCAGTGGCAGGAGGCCCGTGAGGGGTTGTTAGAGTTAGCTGGGCAAGGCCAGATGAAGGCTGCATACCTCGCACTGACCCCAGGTAAGTGAGGTGTACTCCGGAAACTACAACAGGAATACTAGTCAGTCAGTCAGATGTCTTCTAGTAGCATTACAGACTCTCGTTAGCATGAGTGGAGTATAATGTCACTAACTAGGGGGCACTTCCACTTGAAGAAGGAATAAGGGAGCAGATGGCCATTTTTTGAGAAGGATCCTCTTAGTTCTCAACCTCACTGCCAAATAATAAACTAACATTTTATAGCTGTGGAAACAAGCATTCAGAGGTGAACTGCCGTGCTCAAAGGCATGTGGCCGGTACTGGCCAGCCAGGTTAGCTTTCTGACTCAACTCTGTCTGAACTTGAACCCAAAGCTTCTGCTTTTTGCCATGTGTTCCTCCCTAGGGCCCTCTGGCTCCTGGCTCTTTTTTTTTTTTTTTTTTTTTTTTTTGGTGGCTGGCCGGTATATATGTCTGAGCCCTTGACCTTGGTCTCATCAGCACCATGCTCCAACCAAGTGACCTAACTGACTAGCCCTCCTGGCTCAGTTCTTATAAGAAAGTTGGTGAGCCTACTTCCTCCTTAGGCTGGGAGCAAAGTAGACACTAGCTAACAAGACCCTGTTGGTTCCAAAGATTCAGGGCAGAGTGAAAACAAACAGCCAAGTTTTCAGAGTTGGAACCATAAAATGCTCAGGAATGCAGGCAAGCAGGGAGCACTATAAATACTGACAACTACCACTCTTTGTTTTTTGGTTTCCTTGCTTCTATAGCTACCCAGTGCCCCCACAGCTACCTGTCCAAATTCTATCTACAGCCACCCTGCCAAGTTCAGGCCTGACCAGCTACTGTCTGACCTGGCCTGCGCCACACTTCTGACAAAAGAACTGATGGCCTCTGACATGCCGTGGCACACTATTGTTTATGCGCTCTTTCATATCCATATTGTTCAAAGGAGGCAGTGTGAGGATTCTGACCCCCATCTTTCAGGGTAACTTCTTTCCCTGCCTTGTGCTATTTCCAGGGGAAAGCTGGGGGTGAGGGAGCTAACAGGACTGCTGGGACCTAGTCCATTTGACTTGGAGAAGCTCATCTCAGAGTCCTTTACATGGATGGGAACTGCTGAAACCCACTCTCCACAATGCAGGTGCTTCAGCAAGTGGGAGACAGGAGAGGGAAAGAGAAATGAGGCTGAGGAAATCTGGCTTCCATGACATCTCCCCCTGGGTCTGCATTAGGGACCACCCGAGAGCCCTCCCCCCACCCCCTGACCCCAGGATCTGCACGCAGCTGGCTCTCATGCAGCTGTTGGCTCAGGAACTTCGAATGACCTCCCAGTGCCTGCAGAGAGCTCCTGGCCTCAAGTCCCACCACAGCCTGCTCCCATCCCACATTCCCAGCCTTCCTTTCTGCTATGGTCCCC